CATACTAAACAGCATCATTTTTGGGTTGATTACATTGAGGGACATTTTTTGTTCTTTTTATTTCAAAAGGGACACTTTGGTTTCTTAGACACACTTTCTTTGTTTTTTATATAAAATGTGACAAAAATACCCCTGCAAACACGCGCATAGACAACTTTTCCGTGGACAAGTCAAATATAATAATGCGCGTGAACATAAATTGGTGGATGAAAACAATTGACAAATAATAAGAAATTAATCGTAGACATACTATTGTGAACATGATATATAATAATTTCTGAGATTGTTATAAATAATTTATCCACAGATATTGCAATTATTTATTTTAACTACATATTTACCTATAATAACATATACAAAATATCCTATCCACAAGATTAGGTAACAAAAATTGCAAAAATTTACAAAATTTTGATTTAGTATAAGTTTTTATGGGCATGTTATCTTAGTCAACTATGTAATTAAAATGAATTTTTGTTAATTTTGTAAATTCTTGCAATTCTTGTAGGTTTTTATGAACTATGTAGTTTTCAAGAAAACAATGCCACATTTGTTCAAACTGAACTGAAGCAATGTAACCATACATTATTATCAAAGAAAAGTGGATATACTTTTATTAAATAAATCAGAAAATACGTAGATGTTATAATTTTGGGTGCAAAAGACTAATTAACAATGAATTCTCTTTGTGTACATGTTACCATAGGTAAATATGTAGTTAAAATGAATAATTACAAAATTTGTGGATAAGTTATTGTAACAATCTCAGAAATTATTATCATGTCCACAATATCATATCCACGATTAACGCATCATTGTTTTTGACTTGTCTGTTGTCCACGCGCGTGTATGGAGGGATATTTTTGTCATATTTTATATAAAAAACAGGTAATAGATTTATTTACAAAGTATCTCCCTTGAAATAAAAATGACAAAAAGTGTCCCTGAGTGTAATAATTCCATCATTTTCTAGATTTATTTACAAAAGAGAAAATGACTATAAAAAACCTCTATTCTAAAATTATTTATTTAATATATCTACATTTTTTTCAAATTTTTTTTTTATTTTTCTGAAAAAATAAGTATCAAATTTTTTAAAAAAAAAATTTCAATATCCTAATTCTTTTCAAAAATCGTTTTGTTTCCCTAAAATTAGAAAACTCAACAAATAAATATCATAAATGTATGTGATACCAGTATATTAGCATGGATGGTAAGAACATCTCCAATGGAGAGAAACTCTATGAGTT